CGTGACCTGTACTATAGTTCTTCCGTTCCGAGTGAGTCCCTGTTGTTCCCGTGATCCTGCAGTACAAATGTCCTGTCCTAGCCGCCCGACGCCCAAGTGGGTCGGTTAACTGTTATCCATGCATAACGGGTCGTAACACTGTTATCCATGCATAACGGGTCGTAACAAGTATATACGTCTAGCCTAGATGCTTTCACTTATATGCAGGCGAGTTAGGGTTAGCGCGGGCAGTTATTCCAGACCCTTAGGTATGTATACTGCGAAGCTACTGGACTAGGCACTGACCGAGGTGCTTTTACTGCTTTTTCCCCTACTGTGAAAACCCCTACTGGGTGGGCTCGAAACTTCCTCAACAAGGCTTCAATATAATTACGACAGATGTGATACAGAATCATTCGCTACTAGAAGAAGGTTATTTATACAATAAACTGGCTGCTAGTGGATCTGTGCCAAATCAAATGTGTTTGAATATCATAGCCGCATGAGAAAGGTTCACCTCTATAATAACAGTGAAGCCCCATCCACGCTAAGTAAGAAACTTGAATCAACAAGAACGCAATCCCACGCAGCTAGTATGCTATCGCCAAAGGTCTGTGAAGGAAGGCGATTATGTGCGAAGGAAGGCCAGGTAAGAGAAAGGTTGCGATCCGAACACGCTGCTAAATTTACAGAGCAGACAGTTTAAGTGCACTAAGAATCAACACCAAGTCAGCAAGTATTAAACCCCAAAATCAGGCAACTATCGTGCTTACGCTGTAGTAAGGAAGCTCTGTCTTCCAGTAGTAGGACTTGCAGCCGCCATTGGTGTTGGTGACACACTGAAGTCACATCGAAGTCAGTATCATCACTGTAGGAATTTACGAGGGCTAACTTACACCCCATCCTCCACTGCTGCCATACTGGCCCGTGTTCCAGGTCAACTTTTGGTTAGAATAGCAGGGGCTTGCAGCCTGTCTCGCCTCGATGGGGGCAGCCGCATCGGCAGAGGCGGCAGTCGCAGAAGCTGCGAGTGAAGCAAAAATGAAGATTGCGTTGAGGAATTGCATCCTTGGGAAATGAATGTTATGTCGTGTGAATATGTTTTGGTCAGGCAAGATATTCAGCTGATTGTGTTGACCAACTGGGAGCAAACGTCAGTTAAAATACAGTTGAGTTCAGTTGGTTAGACAGCACCAAACTCGGGAGGTGAATAGAAGTCCGAATCTCGTCAAGGATACGAAGAAAGTCTAAATAATGAGCCTCATCTCCCAGTTTCACATAGGGGGCGAGATCCATTCTCTTTACGGGAGGCTCGGGTTACCAAAGCACAGAAGGGTTCTCTTCGGTGACTGCATCGATTGTGAGCAATATCCAACGCTTGGACTGCCCTTTGCGATTGGATGAGATAACGCAGGAAGGCAAGGGTATGGCAAGCGCGGGAAGTGAAGGCGTGGAAGGTCCTCGCTCCAGTACATGTAGTCTTGCCAGAGACGATGGCCTTAGCTTCCACAGCGGCTTGTATTTTTTTGCAAGTCTTTCACTGCTACATGTATTGATTCTGGTCAAAGGGGGACGAATCGCCCGCTCCATTGGGTCTGAATCCATCCCACCGGGAATTGGCGTCCCATGGACATATAGATCGTGTCATGCCAATGGAAGGAACGAGTCAGTACTGCCATTTAGCCATCTTACCCCTCTCAACCTCTATCAAAGGGTTAATGAAGTGGATAAAGGTAGACGACTTGAAGGTTGTTTTTCTGGTATCGATTGTGAATGGTGGTCATAAGGAGATGAAACAGGCGAGAGGATTGTTACACTACCGGCGCACGTGTTGATAGACTCGCGTCCACATTTAATATATGCTACTGCACAAACAGTCACCAGTACCAGCGTTCTGTGTAGTACCTCCAGTGCTGTGGCGTCGGCTTTGGCGATAGGCGACAGCGAGGAGCCGGGGCGGGGGGCAACTTTGTCCCGGTGCACCCACATCGGGGATAACGGAGAAGAGGAATGACCGTGGGCCGATGGTCGTGATGGGGCACTGTATTTCCATGCCGACCTTGGGTTATTGCGCTGATCTGACGTTTCCGGTGACAAGACTGAAGTGACCAATGTAAACATGAAGGAACTTGATCAGAGTGGAAGAGCCGTAAGGTATGATTGGGTAAGTCTTTAAGAGGGGAATTTCAGATTGAAGTCTCACCTCGAAATTTATGTGGCTTCACGCTTTTGAGGTCAGTAAAGATTGCGGCGCGTCGATTTGCTCCATCCCTCTGGCGGTGCCTTACAGACGTGCTGCGACTTCAACGGGATAGTGTGACTACGCGAGTTTTGCCATCAGGGCGAATGCTTCTAGCTAACCGGGCCGAGGGACGGCGACGACAACAATAAAAACAATAGCAATAGCAACGATAGGAACAGAGAGAGGGATAAGATATTCAAAACAGTACGCTGATCGAAGTTTGAGAGGGACCCTAATCAATCAATAGAGTGTGGTGTAAGGGGTAATTGTTTATGTGATAGATAACCTTGAAAACTAGAGTCTCTGATTAATTCCATCATGATACTTATCTTGATAACACATTGAAGACAAATGAAATCTATAATCGACAGTGACCGCCCTGGTATCTCAAACTAAGCCATCAACGCCGATATCCCCCAATTTCACAAACGAGTGTTGTCCGTCATAGTCTCTCAGTGACCGCCATTGACCTTCTTGCCCTGCTGCTCGGCCTGCATAGCGTTCATGCCAGCGTTGAGCTTACCAAACTGCCACTCAGGGAGGGTAATTCCAGTCTGCTCGTTGATGGTCGTCATCAAAGGCGGCAGCATCTGGTAAATATTCCTCATCGTGTCGACCCCAGAGTTGCCGCCACCCTCGCCTGACTGAGACCCCGTGTTCCACACGCTGATCTTGGGCTCCAGACCGCGAATGGCCGAGGCGTTCGCCTTCGCCAGCTCGACGTAGGTGCCCTTCTCAATCATCAGGTACTGCATCAGGCCCGCCGGGCCGCCGAAGGCCTGCGCCATCTTGCCGTACGCGTCCGCCATCGCGGACAGACCCTCGGCCTTCTTGAGCGACACCGCGAGGTCCGCGTCGGCCGCCAGCTGCGTCGCGTACTGCGCCGCCTCGGCGTCGAGCTTGTTCTTCTCGAACCGCGCCTTAGCATCCGCCTCGATCCCGTACGCGCCGGCCTCCGCCTCGCGCTTGTTCTTCTCCGCGCGCGCCCGCGCGTCCGCCTCGACGGCGTACGCCTCCGCATCCGTCTGCTGCTGCCGCGCCTCGCGCTCAATCGTCGCCTTGACGACGTCCCGCGCGCGCAGGCGCTCGATCTCGGCCGCCGCGCGCTTCACCTCGACCTCCTTCTTCAGGTCCTCGTCCTTGCTCTCGAGCGCGCGCTGCGCCTGCACGCGGGCAATGTCGACATCGCGCGTCAGCGACGCCTGGCGCGTGTCGAGGTTCGCCTCGGCCGTGGCGCGCTCAATGTCGCGCTCCGTCTTCTGCACGGCGGTCTCGGCGTTGATCTTTGCAATCTCGCGGTCCTGCTCGCCCTTGCGCTGGGCCTCGCCTACGTTTCCGCGCAGCTGCGCCTCGGCGACGTCGATGCGGGCCTGGTTGGTCGCGCCCTCGTGGGCCTTGCGCGAGAGCGACTCGAAGTAGATGCTGTTGGGCGCGTCCTTGAGCTCCTTGACGTTGGCGTTGTAGATGACGAGGCCGAACTGGGAGAGCTCGGACTGGATGTTCTTGAAGATGCGGCGCTTGAAGACCTCGCGCTCGGTGAAGATCTCCTCCATGGTCATGCTGGAGACGAGCACGCGCACCTCGCCCTCGATGACGCCCTTGACGATGTTCTCGAGGTGCAGCATGGAGCCGCCCTTCTTGTCGGCGGCCTCGGCGAGGAGCATGGCGTACTTCATGAGGGCGTCGCCGCGGTCCTCGCGGGTGTTGGCGGGGATGGAGTCGTGGTCGTTGCTGTGGACGGAGCTGTCGTTGTTGTTGCTGTTGCTGCCGTGGTAGAGGTGCTGGGCGTTTGCGCCGCGGGAGTTGACGTCCGGGCCGACGGTGAAGACGACGGGTAGCAGGAATTGCAGCTTCTCCTTGGTCATGGCCTGCAGGCTCATGGCGTAGTCGTGAGGCTGGACGGAGAAGCGCATGCAGCGCTGGAAGGGCCAGACCCATGTTGCCTTTGTGATCTTGACCGTCTTCACGGACATACCCGTGATGGCCAAGTACTCATCGGGGGCTGCGATTCTGTACGACATTTTGGCGGTGTTTGTTTGTGTTTTGATGGATGGGGATGGGGTATGAAAGATGAGGAATGATTAAGTAATTGCTTTGCTGGCTGAGATTAAAGGGAGAAGATTGGGGGTGCAACTGATGTTATATAGATAGTTGTCGTTGAGTTCTATCGGAGAACCCGAAGAGTAAGGGTGGCGGGGTGACGAGAAGGTTTACTTATGCTTTGGATGAGCCGGTGAGGTGTTGATGGTGTTCGTTCTAACACGGATTAATTTACAACCCTTGATAACGAAGGAGGGTATGTTGGGATATCTGAGGATAATGTTACACTTGTGTGACACGAAAGAGCAAACATTGTAGATGGCTCTCCTCCTTTTTATGTATGCTCGGTCTGTTCGCGTTTCTGATATGTCAACGTTTAGGAGTCATAGGCACGACGGCAGATCGCAAGGCATTCTTGCAGGAGCGAAAGCCAATCGTTGAGCCTCGTGTAACACTACCAAGGGCCATGCCGAAGAGGGGAAAGCAGCAAAGGGCGCGTAGGAGCTATCCCAGCGGTTGTGTGGCGGAGCCCAGGAAAGGCTGAAATGGCCTTGGTATGTCACTTGGAATGCGCCCAAGGTATGAAGATGAATAGACTATGCTAGACAACCCCTCTTCTTCGCTCTATCGAGGTCACGTTATCTTTTCCGACATCATCAAGTGTTCGGCCACCTCCGAACTCATGAATTACTTTCAGAAGCTCCTGTATATTCATGGTATTCATCACCCCAAAAACCACTTCATGTCATCAGTGGCGCCTAGAGTAAGTCATATGATCCTGGTCCAAGCTCCCTTCGCCTTCCAGAAGCCTTCCTAAACGGCTGCCTAGTGGCTTGGGGTGTGGGTCTGTGGGGGGATAAGACGGCGATCATTCCGCCCGACTCACACTTCTAGGGCACGTTGATGTATTCTCCCATTGAGGCCCGCAACATAGGATCATACTTCGATGAACCGCTGCTTTCATGTAGATGAGCATCTCAGCCTCAAAATCAGGGTTCTGTAGTATGCACAGGGTCTACCAGATAAGATTTTGCCCCACAGGAATATTCCATCGGCAATCACAGTCGCATTCATGGATCCCCAAGTTCCAATGCGCTCACCGAGGAACGCCTCAGCTGAACAATCCCAATCAACTCCAGACCTACATCATGCCAAAGCATCTGCACTTCTGATCTCGCAGAGAAATCCCTCAGGCTAGACAGCATCACTCACGATAAATCACTCAGTTCAACCCCCAGATCAACATTCTCGGGCTCTCGCGTCTAACAACGCAACCCGACCCTATCGGTACCGAAGCCCGCATCCGGGGACCGAACCGGAGGCGGAGTCAGGGGTGGGCCTCAAAAACCGGTCACCTGTCTCCGGAATGCTGGAAGCGAAAAGGGGGTCCCCGCGCTGGTTACACAGCAATCGGGCGACGCTAGTTCCAAGGGGCACCTCAATCTGGCTCATTGCGCGAGTGGACTGGAACTGGAACGGCGCATCAATCAGACTCGTAGTCATCCTGGTGCCACAACTGTCCAATAACCCCCCGACTTAGCGTGTTCGCCCAGACGCCCCGCCATAACCGGTTCATGTCGCACAATCCCCCAGGGACAGGCAGGATCAAAGGCACAGCAAACCCAAGGCTCGGTCGGCTATGAGCTGAGGGGGCGCAGCCTCACGCCATCTTCTTAGTCTCTGGCCACCGCATCTCCCTCATTTCCATTGCCCTCGCCCAGCGCACCTCATTCTTCACCAAACGACCCTGATAGAATCGGAGAAATCATTTAGATCGTCCGGACCCAGCCTCATAAAGTATAATTCCCGCTCATCGCCGTCGGCCGAGTTCGCACTCACGTGAACACTTCATCTTCGGAGGCGAAATAATCCTCTTGTGGCTGCATGCAAGTTCATCCTGTGATAGGACGAGGCACACTGGGTGGCGTTTTCCACGGCCCATGCTGGGGCTGAAACCAGGTAGCTCATCTCGTGATCTCCATCCATTCATGAACAACCTCTCTGGCGTTCTTTACCAACCAGTTATCGTTCTTTTGTCACACAGCGATATTACCAGGCATCTATAGCTCATCAAGGCTTCAAACGAGAAGACCGTGTATCCTTGCCTTTCTTACCAATCATAGTCAGATCAACAGCAACTTGACACCATTGTCACCAAGTCATCAAACCAGGCATCAACACCACATCATCAATAGCCTCACCCAACCAAACATCGTCAATACATCACCTACCTATCGTCAAACGCTCACCACCAGCAACAACAATCAAAAATGTCTAAACAACCACCCTCCTACGACCTCGACAACGACCCCTCCGACCCTCCCCCCGCCTACACCTCACTCACCTCCCCCTCCCCCTCCTCATTCTCACAACAACTCCCCCAAACCCTCTCCTCCCTCACCTCCCTCCTCCGCACAACCCAAGCCCAACAATCCGCCCTCGCCTCCCACAAAACAACAACCCTCCTGCCCCTCCTCACCCCGCACCTCGCCGCCCTCCTCACAACCCTCGCAACATCCCCCTCCCCGCCGCCCCTCGCCGAGCTCGTCTTCGTCCCCGCCGCCGCCGTAGACCCCCGCTGGAGCATCGCCTCCGAGACAAACGAAGTCGTGCAAGTCATCCGCGTCTCTCCCGCAGATTCAAAGGAACCTCCCTCAAAATCGGGACGAACCCCCCCAACAGGCCCCTCCTCATCCTCATCCTCCTCCCTCCGCGAACCCTCCTCCTCATCCTCTCTCCGCCCCAACCCGCCCGCCGCCTTCGACGAATGGGGCCGCTGGTCCGACTCCTCCTCCTCCTCGCCCGAAACCAGCAGCGAGGAAGAGTGGTGGTGGGCCGACGAGGACATGGCCCGCCGCCTCGCGCGGCAGCTCCAGCCCGAGCCGAGGCTCGACCGCACCGTCGTGCGGCAGGTCGTGGAGCAGGTCATCCAGGAGAAGAAGAAGGCGCGGGGGTGGGGACTGTTCAGGGGGGGATCGTCATCCGAGGCGGCAGCAAGTTCGTCGTCGTCTTCGGCACCGCCGCCGGACGTCAGCAAGGCAAGGCAGCAGCAGCAGCAGGACGAGGATGTAAGCATGACGGTGCGCGCAGAGGAAGTGACGTTTCGCAGGGAGAACGAGCTGGGGATCTGGGAGAGCATGAGGGGGTGGGGCATCGTGGCGCGCGTTCGGATTCGCAGATGACGGAGGAGGCACAGGATGTAAATGGAAAAAGCTTTCGTGGATGGAATTATTTACGGATCAACAGGGGTCATCAACAAAGCTGGAGCTATGAATACATCTAGCGACGACGACACAAAACCCACCAACGCCGAGCTCAACAACATCGCGGCACTCTTTCTACCTGAACCAAATCTCTACGCTTGCGGTCTTCGTCTAGGGGGCGGGAACCGTTCCGTATCCTATCCGAATCTTATTCCGGAGCCCGGGTCCCAGGTGCCGCCCTGCGGGGGCTTGCTCCCCGATCCCTGCGCTTGCTGCGTGGTGGGGGCAGCCGATGAGCCGGCTGGTGCCGAGAACTTGATCCCCATGTCAGGCTGCCACATGCTAGTTGGCCTGGGGTGTTGCGGTTCGACGGTCGAGCCCGCCCATGACTGAATGTGTGCCTCGGCGGGAGGATGCACCACCTCCTGTCTTGAGGGCTGCTGCTGAGGCGGTGAGGAGCCGGGGACGACACTGGCATTGAAGTAGGAATTGTTTGTGCGTTGGTCGTACGTTGAGCCAGCGGGCGAGTGGACTGGGGATCTGTTGATATTGAGAGAGCCGAGAGGCGGCATGGTGACCTCCCTGGAACGTTGTTAGCAAATACTCCTACACAATGATAGGACAGTGCTGACTCTTCGAGACTCTTTGCGTCCATCCGCCGCTCCGCAGCCCACGCCTTGACCGGGTCCCGGAAGTTCTGGCCGACTACCTTACTCAGGTCGTTGTAAAACTTGCGGCCCACGTCCACATTGTTGACAATCTCCTTGTACTTGTAATAAGCATTGTCCAACCTCTGCAATGCTTGCTCGCGCTCCCTGCTGCCGCTGGTAAGATTCTTCTTCTGGCTCTCGAACTCCCGGTTGACCCGGTGCACCTCCGTCATGAGCCGGTCCTGCTCGTCCTCTTCCTTTGCCACGGCTTCAATGTCTCCGTCATAGAGCTTGTCAAGACGCTTCTCGAAAAACTCTTCAAAGTGCGCCGGGACGATGGCTGTTGTCGGGTACGTCCGCTCAAGACGGGCAGCCTCTTTGAGGATGTCGGGCTTGATGTCGTCCGTTCTTGCCTTCTCCCTCAGTGCCTCGGCCTTCTTTCTCCTTCGCGATTCAAGACGGAGGACATCGTTGTAGGCCCCGCGCAATCTTCCTATGACTGGCTTCAATGGCTCGGGGATGTCCATCCGCCTGCTTGAAGGGACATAGTCCATGAGAGCTCGGTCCGACCCGGACAGCATCTCCAGCAAGTCCTGGACCTCTCTATACTTCTCTCGCACAAGTGCGTCACTGCTCGTACTGCTGGCAAAGTAACCCTCGATTTCTGCCACTTGTCCCCAGAACGCAGCGCCCTGAGGATCGCTCCGACTGTCTGGTCTCGACCACCTGTCGGTGCCGTACTTCCGTCTAAGCCTCTGGTCCTCTTCCTCCTCTGCTGTAAGGATAGCTTTGCCCTCATTGAAGACTGAAATATCTGCATTCCGGAGTTTGTCGATATCGGAGAACGCTCGCTGGATGCGTCCAATAGCGTCAGCCTGGCGAATCTCCTCGGCGTGATGGACCAAACTATGAGGTAGACCGAGAGGCTTCTCGAGGGCCTGTAATGAGCCCGGCAGGTTGATAGAGCTGAGAATCTGGTGGAGCTTCTCAGTCTGAGTCTCCATCTGACCAATAATATTCTCGTTGACAATGCGATCGCGGAGTTGTTCGTAGATGGTGATGGCTGCGTGCACAGAGAACGGTACCAGCTTCGTGAAGAGGGCGGGCCCGAACTCGGCCTGGTCTCCGAGGTAATCGAACGGGTTGCCCACTTGAGGCGGAACCTTGGCGATGGCCATGTTCGCCCTGTCGAGGATCTTGAGTTCAGACTTGGGCGGTACGGGATCTGCTTGCGTTAGCCTGGCCGCTGCCAACCTCCCACTCGCAATACTCACTGAGATAAATCACATCGTTATCCTTCTCCGCCCGCTTCAGATCCTCCTCAACTTTCCTCTTCAGGCCGTTCAGGTCATCGAGCACAGCTTTGTTGAGGTACCCGCCCCTGCTCTCTTTCAGCCCTTCGTTGACGCACGCCACAGCATCCTGCAACCTCGCCACCTCTTCGCCATACTTCCGCTTCTCCAGGCAGTCGCATGCGGCGCGGTACTGCGCGGCGCCCGCAAAGTGGTGGTGCTTCGCGCTCATGTGGTGGATCCACGCGGAGCTGATCGCCTCGCTCTTCATCGCCGCCTCGCCCGCCGAGTTATACAGGTCCGACACGCGCGCCGCCAGCCGGGCGATGATGGCGTCCTTGTACCCGTCCATAACGGCCTTCTGCCAGAAGCACTCCTGCGACTGCGCGAGCAGCAGCTGCGCCAGCGACTCGAGCGTGTTGGCGTCCATGTCCTCGGGCGGGTCCGACATGCGCAGCTCGGGGAGGATCTCCTTCTGCATGTGCTGGAGCACGCCCGCGGCGGACGAGAAGTAGCCCGCGGCGGTCTTGAGGCCCTCGGTGCCGGTGCGGGACTGGGCGACGGCGAGCTGGGAGTAGAGGGAGGCGAGGTTGTAGAGGATGTTCATGAGCTCGTACTTGAGGTTGTTGCGGACCATCGGTCGCTCGGTGTTGTAGCCCAGGGCTGGGTACCAGGTGAACTCGGCGCCGATCTGTCCAAAGCATGGTTAGCATTTCGCTGCGTTTGTCGTAGGATGGAACGACCACGTACGTCGATCGGGAACTTTCCACCGATCCACACCAGCTGTCCGGCGTAGGCCTGGAGCTTCTTGATGCCGCTGGGGTGCGGCTCCCTCACGTTGACCGCATCGCGTCGGAGGGCATCGATGACCTCAAGGTCCTGCCGGAACATGTCCGGGTGCTGGTCATATTTGGTGTTGATGTACTGCCGTATCGTCGAGGACAGCGAAAGTTGTGTGGATTTGCGGAAGGGCAGCGACAGGATGTTCGATATACTGGCCCCAAATGACTGTTAGCAGGCAGACCAAACAGCACAAACTCGAGTAATCGCAAAGGATACTCACGTCGCCATGTCGAAGGGTCCCTATCGGGGCAGGGTTGGACGTTGGAAGAGCTCAAGCTAGGCCAGCAAGCTTCATGACTTCATTTCTCGAAACATGGAAGGACACAGGACGGCACAGCAGTAGCGTACCGGCCCAACTGACGTTGGCGGGGCACGTGTGGCACAGCTGCCTCTGTGGCGTCGAGTGGGGGCGGGACGTGGCTGAGACAGAAGCAATGTGTGCCTGACGCAGTACAGGCTTTTGGCCTGAGATGTGAGGCTCCACAAGTTCATCCCATCGCATGAATCTCGACACATGGCAATCGAAGGCAATCTCATCGCACGAGTCAAGTCGAGGCGGATTAAGTCATGTTTTTGAACATTTCGTATCATTTGTATACACTTGTCTAACTCTACAAGGCGCCAATGGTATCAGCACCCTCCTGCCACCGTAATTTAATCCAGGTGGTTGACCTCCGAAAAAGGACACCCAACGTCCTTATCATGACTCCAAACGTCCGGCCTTTCACAGGTCTATGTACCGATTGCAAGATCCGTCCAAGCAATCCTTCTATGTGCAATGCAATGCCGCAGAAGAAGAAAGGAAAATGAAAGTGTAGCGGTTGCCAGCATGCTTGTTGTAATAAAAAAAAGCCCGAACTCAAACGCCGAAGCTCTGATTAGGAGCTGTATGCCGAAGTCGAGAACCGAGTCGAATCGAAAAGGGGTTTTTGGTTTGTAATGAAATGAGGGTATCGCGGTCAGCGGATTATAATTATGATCCTGTCCAGGGAGGTTGGTATTGGGGGATCCGTATGGTATGCTTTTGCCCTGGGCAAGGCAACCGTTATCCTTCGCCGGGTTGCCTTTGTGCTGCCGTCTGAATCGAAACAGGCCCGTGCCATTTCGGCCGAGGGGCCAGCTATGAAAACAGGCCAGGATATCCTGGGATGATGGGGAAAATGCTTGGATGGGTTGCTGAGGTGCTTTTATCTGACGGCGTTTCGCCCAAACCACCCGTCCCATCATGTCATGAGGTGAAGGCGCCTCGAGAGGGCCTTCGCCTGTGTCGTATCGTCGTGCTCGGGAGTCCCGAGGGCACCTCATGTGGAGGGAATCCACACAAGCTCGATAACGCCGTCGATCTTGCTCATCGGCTCGCCGTCCTCCTCGACCCAGCGCTCGTCGTCCTTCCTGCGGGTGTAGATCTGGAGTACGGAACCGTCCTCCTGAACGTGAGCCTCCTGGAGCTCCCAGGCAATCTTGCGACCAGTCTTGTGCAGAGATCTGCGCTGGGGGCCGAACATGTAGTCCAAGTTCCAGCCAATGTCATCGGGGGCGGGGGTAAAGGTACGCTCCATCTGGTCGAGGTTGAAGTCGATGCCTTGCGGGTAGTGGGCAACGCTGAAGCCGTTGGCGATGATGAAGTCGTCCGACGTGATAAATCGCTGGTACGGGCAGTCCTCGCCACAGGCGTGAGAAACCTTGGTGGTCTGGAAGGGCTTGGCAAAGTGCCAGCCGCCGCCCTTGTAGTGGTGCAAGCTCAAAGGCTTGATACCACTCTCGTAGAAACCGGCCGGGTCGCCGTACAGGTCGAGCTGCCACAGATCCCAGATGTTGGTGAGGCGGACCTCGGTGTTTTCGTAGATGCACTTGCGGAGGAGAATGTCGCCCTGGGGACCCCAGCCAGAGTTGGCTTCCTTGACCTTTTGGGGGGTCTTGCAAGACTCGTACAGCTGGTTGATGGCGGCAGCAAGGGGAACGCTGAGGAAGACACCAGCACCGCCGAAGGCCTGGGAACCGTGGCGGTGGATAGCGTTGACATCCTCAGAGAGGGTTCCAACGTACAGAGGGTCGAGGTGATCGAAAGTAGCGAACTTGTCGATGAGACCGTGCATGCTGGGGAAGTAGGTATCGTCGTCGCAGGTAACCAACCACTTCTTCGACTTGCGGTCGGGGTGGTTGTACAGGTAGGGAACCAGAGTCAGGTAGCGAACGGCCATCTCCATGGAAGGGTCAGAGTGTGCCACATCCACGTCAATGCCGACACGCTTGAGCCTGTCGCTGGCATCCTTGAGCTCGGCGTCGCTGGCGTCCAGGAGGAGGAGCAGAAGCTTTCCACCGTTGGACTTGCCGTTGCTGTCGGTAAGCCAGTGAGACCACTCCTTGATCGGGCTCGTCTTGGGGTCGTTGAAACGCTTGTAGGTGGTGGAAACAGCGAACATAAAGTCAGAGGCGTTGACAGTGGCAGGGTAAGGGGATTGAGGGACGGGGAGCTCGAGAGGAGCGTGGCACTCCTCGGGGGCGTAGGACTTGGTGACATCAACCGTCTTGAACTTCTTGGGCAAGAATTCCTGGTCGAGGACGGTGTAGGCTTTGCGAATGATGTTCTTGCGGGTGAACTTGACGTAGCGCTTGAAGTAGTGGATCTTGTTGTCGAGGCCATACTTGTCCTTGACCTGCTTCAGGTGGTCGGTGTTGACATCGCAGTTCATGACGTGAGTCGATGAGGGGGCGGGCTCGGCGGGGATCTTGTCGGAGAGAGATGATGAGCCGTGAGACTTGACGGGGTCCAAAGGCTGCTGGTGGGTGATGGAGGACTTGACTCCGGCACCGGTCTTCATGATACGGCCGCGGACGTCGATGGCGTCGTTTCTGAGGGTGAGGGCCATGATGACCAGGATGACGACTGCAAAAAGCAGCGTTCTCGTGAGTGGGTTACGCATACTGCAAGCGCGAACCGGACCAGGCAGCTTAGCGCCCATTGTCCGAATAAGACGGTCTAGTTGTTTTTCGTCCAGCTTGACGGCTGTAGGGGGGATGTTCGGCTTGGTGTTTTTGTGAGCGAGCAGTCTGAGCGATGAGATGAGGTCGTCGGTTGTCGTCGAGGGTTCCTCTTCCTTGTGCTGTAGTCCTTGGTGCGGATGTAATGAACTCGGATTGGTGAAGTGAGTTCGGACGATAGCTCCACGACCCAAGACCTGTCAAACAGAAAACGAGAAGTCTGTATGGATGATTGCAAACCGAGGCCAAATGGAAAAAAGCAGATACCGGCGATAGCAGCTAATGGTGGTTGTGTTGAGCGAGTGACACGATCATAGGACCGGCAAGTGATCGGGAAAACGGGAATCTCTGCTGCTGGAAAGGAAGACGCGAGCAGAGACTGGCGATCCAGATTCGTGGTGAACTGGAGAGACGAAGAGAAGGGAAAGGAGCAGGAGGGGAAAGGTGGGAGATGAGGGAAGAAGAGGTAGAAGAGGTCTGGAAGAGTGAAAAAGAGGGTCCCTGAATAGCGGGCGGGTAGGTACAAGAGAGGTGCGTAACGGTGCTGAAAAGACGCCAAAACAGTACAGTAGGGGATGGATACTACTATGCGACGGGTGCAGGTACTGAACGGAGTAAGGTAGGTATTCGTAGCGCGGTAGGGTAGGTAGAGCGAAGAAGGCGAACAAGAGCTACGAATACCTGCTTGGAGCGTGCCGGGAGGAGACTCCGTACGTGCGGCGTAGAGTGACGGACGGGGACCGGGGGTGGTTCTCAATGTTCACCACGCTGATTTAGGGGGGGAGGGGGGTGTGGGACATGGAGTTGTGGGTGTGCGGACGAGGAAGATGGAGGCGTGGACCAGGGGGAGTGGGAGCGGGAGTGGGAATCCAGGAAGAAAGAGGGAAAGACTGGGACTGGGATGATGGCTCGGGAAGTTGGAGCCAAGTTTGGTCTGGAACCCTACATATCGATAACTGGAAGGGTGAGCTAAGCCTCTCTCTTTTACTCTGAGAGTCTGGCTGGAGCGAACAGCAGCGGCCGAAAACATGAGGTTCACGGAGAAATAGGAAGAGACAGAGACAGAAAGATGGACGTGGGAGAGAAGGCTTGGCGACGAGCAGCAGCTGCAAGAGCCAGGGACGGGTGGGATTTGGTGATTGGGATAAAATTGGCAGCAGGGGGCCCTGTTGAAGAAGAGCGCCTTCCTTCCCACTTTTGGGATGTACCCAGGGTACGTATCTTTGGCTTTTCTTCCATTTCCATTGTCGCCATTTCCATTGCTTCCAGTAAAGAATGGCAGGAGCTGGGACAACGGAAAGGAAGGAAGGACGGAAACCTCAAAGAAACGGGCGAATGAATTAAAGACAAAAAAAAAATACAACCGAAACAAAACACGAACGTAGCAACTTGTTTTGGCAACAGCAACGGCAACTGCCACTGCCTCTGCCACTGCCCTCCCGCCGCCACACACAAGCAGCGGCTCTGTCTTACGGCGAGCTGCACCAAGGTCCAAAGAAGAAGGCAAGACGGCGGCGGCGGCGGCGCTGCGCATGGCAGTGTGCAGGGTAAACGGGTGGGAAGGAATGGGTAAAACGGGACCTGCAGCTGCGTATCCGTCGTCTGTGGCCTGTACTTGGTAGAATGTGTGTGTGTGTAGCTCCAGAATAGGTACAGTAGCGTTGCGTTGCTTGTGCATGGGAATTTGCAACCGAGTTGGAGGTTGACGAGTGACGAGTCGCCTCAGCCCATTCTCTCTGGACAGCAACTGAGACTCTCAAACACTGAGATGTTTTCTGCCTGTATTCGTAGCGCACGCCGTAGGGAGAGACGAGCCTGCGACAGAGGGCTCTCCTCCTCGTCCCATGTCGACAGTTGAGGTGCGCTGCGGACGCGGCAGCGGTAGCAGCATGGAACACGCAGAAGCAATCCGCGCTCCGCTGTCTGATGTTCTGTGCTGCAGTTGTTGCTTCTGGCTGTAGGTGGACTGGACGCGTCCTCGTCATCTCATCCAATCTTTCGCCTCTCCGAGACCGTCTTCAATCGTTGGCTCGCTCGGTACCGGTGAAGGGAAGCAAAAAGGGAGGAGGAAAAAAAGGGTGAGTGGGTTCACCTCCAAAAGTGTGGGCAGGGAACGGCGAAAGGGGGTAGCGATGGGAGGTGGGAGGTGGGAGGTCAGAGGTCCAGCCCGCGACCAGGAATCCGCCGGCACGGTCGCTGCTGACTGGCCAGGGGCGGGGACACAAATGGGGGCAGGGGAATTATTC